ACACACACACACACACATCCGCCCCAGCTCAGCCTTCGATCACCTCACATACATGCCTTGACACGTCAGTCCAGATGTATGGCACACAGGCAACAATGACCCGGACGATCATGTGGACACGCAGTGGAAAAAGACCCCCCCGCAGCCACCCATCCTTGGATCTGTCGCTATCGCATACCGTACGTCTGCTGATTGCATGAATCGAATCCATTGGTTCATTGGCTCAGGGAGTGAGTCAGTGTGTCGGTTCCTCTGTTGGTACCCTCACAAGTTGAGGACGTCCTTCTTGGTCGACAGGGCGATGGCAGCCGCCTCGTCGATGAGGTCGTCGGGCACACCGAGATCATTGAGCGTGGCAGCCAGATTCTCCATCACTGCAGAACACGCGCACCGCAATGCAGCCAGTGACACACGGATGGATGGATGCCTGAACAGACAAATGGCTTCCTACCTACCCGCGTCAAAATGCGTTTCGTTCATGCCTTGAGAGACTGGCTTCTTGTGCGCCTCTCGCATGCTTCTGCCTGGAAAGACACCCAGACATGATTGTTGAGTTCTGTTCTGGCCCTCGTCGTTGTGCTCGTTACCGTTGTACTTGTTCGTGCCACCGAACGCGAAGGTCAGAAACCGACCGAAGTGGGCTTTCTGCTTGACCATGTCCTGACACACACGTATGCACCAAAATTCATGCAGGAGACCAAAGGGAGCCCACACCGTTTCTGCGAAGAAGCGGTTGACCCGCTCGTCCTGTACAGAGCACACACGAACACCCCACACGTACTGCACCCCCACGTGTGGCAGATGGGGCGTCTGTACCGCCAACATGCGTTCGTAGAACTTTTCGGTGGCGGTCTTCACCGCATCAGCGCCCCCGATTCTCACAAACAGAGACTCCGGAGATGGAGTGAACTGAGTGTCCACTTGTGCCTGAGCCATTTGAAGCAGCGGGGAGGGACGGGAGAGATGCGAGCCGTGGGGGTGGGGGCGATTCGACTCCGAGTCCCTTCCGCTCCTTCCCTGCTCACGAGACGAAGACCGACAACAAGGAGTACGGCATTCATTCGCTTCTCATAAGTCCGCGTCAAGTCAGCCATCGGGGAGGGCTGCACCAGCCCAACCCCCATCTCACCAAGTAGCCATGCGGAGGCAACAGAGCCAGGCCTCTGGCTCACGTCGCTCGTCCGGCTCCCCACGGCGTTCTTCTGGCTCGCCCCGATCATCGCTGCTAGGGATAGAGAGGAGCTCCAGCGGCTGGGTGGGCTCGCCGAAAAGTGCTGGCAGCTCACCCAAAGCAGGCTCCCCCAAGAAGAGCCTGACCAGTGTGCTACAGAGGGTGGCGATGGAGGTACACTGAGACACACATTGTGTGTGAATGCAGCCGTCAGCTGATGTGTTAATGCGGTCCATTCAGGAAGACAGCCCGTCCCCCACGGCCAAGACCTCCCGCGCTCCAAGTCAAAGGCTCCCATCCAGGTCTTTCGCCAAAGGCACGAGCTCACACAGGGTCGGGTTTGCCAGCAGGAGTGGAACCAAGGTACGTATGTCGGCCACCACTATGTCTCGCCTGTGAGACAGAAGCCTCTGTGCGTGTGATGGCCCTCTCTGCGTGCAGGATGTGAGCCCGCCCACGTCTCCGACCGCCCATGAGAAGAGTCTGGCGGAGCGACTGCGCGAAACCATGCGTAAGGACAGCTCGAAGGACGGGGCGAGGGAGACCTTCAGCAGCAGGAGGAGCATCGTCATCACCGATGAGGGCGAGGTGGTGCCGGCGGCAGTCACCCCATCCAATGTGAGGGCCATATCCGCGTGGGCCAACATCCGGACGCAGTTCAGGGCAGCCAAGATCGCTCAGGGCGCGACGAACCTTGTGGCTGACATCCTATCGTCATCAAGACGGAGAGGTGGGGCGACAGACAGACAGACAGACAGACAGACAGAGAGGCATTGGATTGTGGTGCGTCACTGCGTGTAGCTGAAGTTGCCCCCGAGTCTCGGCGTGCTGCTGACCCGCTGCAGGAGCAGCTGCAGCAGCTCGACGGATTCGTCAAAGAGCTCGAGATAGAGCTGCAAAACAAGGTAAGGAGGAGACACGAGTGTCTCCCGGTCGCCCACAGACGGATGTGTACCATACCAAACACGTGTGTGCGTATGTCAGGAGGAGGAGATAGTGACCCTCAACGCCCAGCTGGTCTGCATTGCATACGCAGCACATACATCATGTCTGTCCATCCCTGTGTGTCATCCATACATGTGATTTATGTATCAGATGGAGGCCAAACGTCGAGAGCGCTTATCGCTGGAAATGAAACAGCAATGGGTGAGTGGCTGGCTGGATACCAGCAGCACGGCATCCACGCCACCAACCTCCATCACTCTCTCTCCGTGTGTCCCGTGCTTGCTTTCAGGCGCCGCCGCAATCGAATATCGCAAAGGAGTATGACGACATGGTGGAGGAGCTGCACCACCTGGAGGAGCAGTTCAAGCAGCTTCAGTCGGCTCACGACCGCATACGAGTGGATCACAACGATGCCACAGAGGAGAACAGGGAACTCACCAAGCAACTCGAAGACGCACAGATGGTATGTATGTGTGTGTGTACATGTATGCACGGCGGCAGGAGAGAGAGAGTGCACGCGTGCCTACCTTCGTGTGTGTGTTTCCATTGGATGTGTGCAGGAATTGAGGAGTCTGAGGAAGTCAGAGGGCGACCTTCGCAAGTCGACGGCTGACCTCAAAAAGGAACTGTCAACCATGAAAGTCAGCACACACGAAAAGTGAGAGGGGCAATGCGTGCAGCTGCTCTTGCGTCTCTCACTTACACGCAGAAAAAGAGCGCATTGAGTCAGGCGATCAAGCTGGGATTCACGCAGACAGCCACTGAGAAGGCTGCTGTGAAGGAGGAGGCATTTCAGGAGGAGAAAACCGCACTCGAGAAGGAACTGTAAGGGCCATCCCAGTAGTGACTGATTGATGTGATGGTGTGTGTATGGCACGGCTGCAGGGAGGAGAAGCGGCAAGATGCTGCGCGTCTGCAGGCTTCAAGTGACCAGTGGGAGAATCGATGCGCAATACTCGAGGAGTACAGCAAGAGAATGGAGATGGAAAAGGTGAGACTGACGTGGATAGCTGACGCAGAACAGGAATGTCGACACCGGTCTCTCTTCCTGTCCTCTCTGTTTCTGTTGGGTTGTCTGTGTCTGTGTCTTGGGCTGTCTGCAACTATTCAGCGTGAGTTGCAGGACCTGCTCGACGAGTATCGTCGCTCCAAAGGATCCATCACAGGCACACCAGCACACGCCCCCCAACGCTATAGCGAGGGAGCACAAAGTGCCGCCTCCGGCACGATGGCCGCCAGAGGTCAGACCCAGACACACACGGACCATTCCTTGAACCATTCCTTGAACTGCTGATGCCTCCCTGCCTCGACTGGATGCAGACTCGGACGCCGGTTCTCCCATGGCGCAAATGGAGCCTATGGAGCCCGCGAAGGGGCCGAAACGCAAGGCGACTCTCGCACAGGAGCTGGCGCAGAGCCTGCGTGAGTTCCAGGCTCAGCACGGATACGGCGAGGGAGACAGCGACGAGGAGGAGGAAGAGGAAATGAGCGAGGAGGAAAGTGAAGAGATGTCACCTGTCGGCGGAGGCAGGTTCGAGCTAGAGATACTCAGGTCACGCACAGTGGAGCTGGAGAAGGAGAATGGCGGGCTGCGCGTGGAGATCAAAAAGCTCGGCAAACAACTCAGGACACTCAAGGTAAGTAGCTGAGAGACACAACCCACTTGCATACAGACAGGTCTTCTATCATGTGTGACGGGTGTCAGACTGTGGTCTTCCCTGCCGAGGCGGGCATGACGCAGCTGCGCCGTCGCCACTCGGCTGTCGGTTTGGGCGAGGGAGAGCCCCGGCCATCGGACAGATCCCCGAGGGCTGCCAAGGCGGAACCGTCCAAGCGCTTGAGGTTCGACGTTCAGGTGATGGAAGAGGAGGAGGAAATCGACGTGTTTGACATCACGCTCCCGCCGAGGAGCTGGAGCGCGCCGGGGATGATCCGGCTGCCTGAGAAGGAGAGGGTGTCGGATCCAGAGAGGCTCGAGGTCAAGGTGGAGCCGAGCGCCCCTCCGGCACCAGCGTATGTGCTCACGAACGTGACACACGTGTATCTGACCATTACATGTCTCACGCATCTCCCTTTCTGTCTCAGGGTGCCTGTACCCGTCCTCCAGCTGCAAGCATTGCGCAAGCCCGTTGTCGCAGAGGGCACACAGACCTGGCGGGAGATGCAGAAAGAGGCTGCCATGCAGACGGAGAAAGAGGAGACACCACCCCCACCACCCCCACCTCCTCTCCCCGTTCATGTGCCGCCACCCGGTGAGCCGCCTGTGCCTCTGCCGCCGGTGGATACTGGTGATGAGGAGACGCTCAAGGCGCTGCAGGAGATGAGGGGGGATGTGGGAAGGCTGCGCGAGCACGTCAAGACCATCACCGATCTGCAACAGAAGCTCAAGGACAAGCTACGATACAGGTACAGGAGAAGGCTAGCAAGTGAACCGGGGACACGGGTGTCTCTCTACACATGGTGTCCTATGTGCTGTGCAGGTCATCTCCGCATCTTCCAAAGGCGCCTGCGCCCCGCCCCGTGGAGCTGGACAACAATCTCTTAAGACAGATGTCGCATCCGTCCCTCCGCCCCATCCACATCGTACACCGACACAGCTACCACTTCCTCGCCCCGCCTGTCCTCTCACCCCGCATGCATCCCCCCCTCATCCAGCGTTCTCTCTCTCCCCCCACCGCCAATCCCTTTGCTCGCTCGACGTCGGTGCCGCAGCAGACGCTTCCACCCTTCCTGTCTCGGTTGCCTGTCTCACCCGGTGTCACCAGCCAGCTTCTGGCGCCAGTCACGTTGGACCTGTCGGGTCCGATCCATGGCCCTTCACTACCGCATCGCACTCGTCCGCCCGTCCACCCGTTCCTCAGCCCCCGCGGACCCCCCTCGACCTCTCTGTACCAGTCGCCCGTGCCAGTGATCAGCCCGCTGCGTCTCGACAGGATGCCTGGCCGCCATGGTCCACCCATGGTCATGAGCGCCAGGCCGGCCGAGACACGCCCGCTCGTCATGGTGGCGGGCAGGCCACTCAGCCCACATGTGGATGACAGAGATATCCGGGGCAAGCAGGAAAGGCCGTCATGCTGCCGCCAAGGGCCCCCACCGCCTCCAAGACAACACAGGGAGAGGAGGAGGCTGAGATCGTCATTGGGTGAGGCCGGGCAGCCCTCGCAGCAGCAGGAGAACAAGAGGAGGAATATTGGGCCGAAGAGGGGGGGCAAAGACAGGGCAGGGGAGACAGGCAAGGTGAGGAGGGCTGCAGGTGACCAAGGTTTGTGCTGTACGTGAACTATAGCTGCATCGGTACACGCTGAATGGGTGGATGTGCGGGTGGGTGGGTGAGTGAGTGGGTGGGTGTAACATTATCGTGGGTCGGTCGGTCGGACTCCGTGACTCTGTGTTTGCTCAACGCCATCTCCACGACATTCAAGTGCCCGCTGATGGAGAATCATCCAGATGAACACGGGTTTTCAGAGACACACGTCAGACACACACGCGAGCACCTAGAACCAAGAGCAATCACAGAAGTCATTCTGGCTCTCGCCAGATAACAAGCCATCAACCGCACCGCGTAGCTCCAGGTCTGCGCGGGAACAACACATTGCATCGAGCTGCTGTCGCCAGCGAAGCCGTCGATCGCGAATTTGACATATCTCGTGGTCGTCCATCTGTGGAAAGGACGTAGCTATCAAGACGCCGTCGCCCCTTGCTCGCTGTCTCCACGCCGATGGGTGATGCAGGTTGAACTCCATTTGCACCAATGCTCGATCGTGGCTGATGTCTTAGCCTTGTGTAATATGGGGCAGGAATGGGGGCAGGTGTAGCGACCTGGCTCTGCAAGCCCGTTGGGTCTTCTTGCTTCTTCCCCTGAAGGTGTCTCCTTTTCTTCATTGCCGCATTCATGGGCGTCTCCTTTCCCTTTGGCTGTTCATCGAGTCGTTCTCTTTTCCCTTTGACCCGAGCGCCAGATGTGTGGGCACCGCAAGAGGAGGAGGCAGGCCCAACACCATAACCACGGAAGAAAAGAGGTACAGACGGCACTCTTCCCTCGACGGGCGTGGCCAGCACATTTGGTCGCACACCGTCTTGGTTAGGCTCCGGAAAGAGTGCGCGTCCCCACGGATGGGCGTGATAGAGTACTGGCTGGGGAAGAAAGAGTCCAAGCGGCGGCGGGGGTGACGGTGCGGGTATAAATGACATTGGTGGTGGAGGGGCTGTTGTTACGGGGCACGGGGGAGGAGAGGGCTGTATCGGTGCTGAGAGTCGATCGCAACTGGGAGGCACAGACGGCTCCATACCTAAACGAACAGTCGATGAGACAGCGTGACAGACAGACCCATTCCACCGCCAAGCTCGGCTCGTGTCAGACCTTGATGAGGCTCTTCCACCTCGTGGTCTGGGGCAGTATCGGCAGCAGGGGAGTCAGGTGTGTCTGCGGGCGTTGACGCCTCATCCACCTGGTTGATGATGTCTTCGACGGACAAGTCTCCCTGCAGGGACCGGCGAAGAACACACCACTCGCTGTTGATCGACTGGCTGATGCGCTTCACTGGATGCATCCCATAGAGGAACATGCATCTGTCTCCTTGGAGAGGTTGCTGCTTGTTCTCTCACCTTTCTGCAGGATGGCATGGCGGTCATCAGGATCAAGGACTGGACCGAACGACTGCTCAAACTTGTCTGCATACGAGCGTACAGAAAGGACGACAGATCCAGGCTTGTTTGGCTTTTCTCTTCGGTATGAGTTGTGACCTGGATGCCATCTCATTGACAACAGGAAGAAGGCACGCTTGGGCTCTTCAGCATTCTGCTGCAACCAATCTGCGAAAGAGAGAGCGGTACTAGCAAGATGTTGAAATCCTTGTACCAGCAATATGCTCACCAGTGAGAATTCGGTCCTCTCTTGGAGGCCATGGAACGTGGTAGCGGCCGATCAGCTGCATCACACAGAAGAAATACGAATAAGAGTTTGCGGCCATTCATCTGTCTGCCTGACGAGCGGCCACGAATGCATGTATGGCCGCGAACAACTCACCCGAGGTGGGTGTCTCTCGAAGTCACGCCACGCCATCTCGTGAGCCTCCCAGCTCGACAAAAAGAGTGGCACTTTACCCTCCAGCTGAGGCCGTACCAGAGTGTCTCCCTCACCACGCCGACCAACAAATTGCCGTCTTTCTCCGCCGTGTTTCAGTTGTGGCCATTGCCGCCGTTGACAAGCCGCGCCAGCGGCAGGCACCCGATGTCGCTGTGTGTGCTTTGCATCCGGGACCTCCCGGTCTCGCCCCATGTGTAGCGGATGCCTGCCGCTCTCGCTGTGACGAGACGACTGCTGCGTCCGACGGGAACGATAATGAGAAGTGCGGGAGATTGGGCTGCGTGGCCTAGACAAAGATGGCGACCTGCGGACAAAACATGAGACAATCAACATGCCTGATGTCTGATTGGACACTGCTTCGTGTTGCTTGCCTGCAGAAGCTGTGTGCCCTTGTCATTCGTGTCAGGAATCGTTCAAGGTTTCCGAGCTCTTTCTGAAACGACGAGTACGGCCCTTCCACCAGGTCACAGTCGAGACAAAGGCTCGGGCCGTCTGCCGACCGACGGAAATTCATCGCGAAGCAAAACGGCAAGCGATCCGCTGTCTGCGAGCTTATCTCGCAGGACGAGAAGAGGCAGCTTCGCAGATCTCCTTCATGGCGTGATAGAGTGACCCGATCCTGCCAGCGTCATCGCTCTCGGGCACCGGCAGCATGGGTGATTTCTTTGCCAACCTGAAGAAGGATCTGGCGGGCGGCAAGAAAGCACTCTATGAGGACAAGAACAAGCCTGGGAAAAGTCCGCCTTCGTCTGTCAAAACCGGTCGAGATGGGTCTGGGAGCAGCCCGAGCCATGTGGCATCCACTGGCAGCAAGGGAGAGATGCCCCGAGAGGTAGAGAGGCAGCCGGCCAGCCTGGGCGGGAAGAACCAGGGAGATCAGCCTGATGCCAAGACTACATCCTTCATCTTCAAGTCGGGGCAGAACAAGGTGAGCATGACACGCGCGAACTGCTGACTGTCTGATTGTTTCTTTGATTGGTTGGTTGGTTGATTGATTGATTCATTGATTCATCAGACCACGACAGACCATGTTGGTGCCGGCAGCGAAGCTGGCGACGGCGATGCAGACAACCACCAACCCAGCGGCCCGCCTCCACCACCAGGGCGTCAGATCAGTGCTGCCGAGATGTGTGGTCTGATAGGGCAGGTGCTCCCCACGGCCGACAAGTGGACACAGGGGCGCGCAATGAGCTTCATCAAGACGATGGCCAGGAAGGAGAGGCAGCAGCAGGAACGGCAGATGAGGGACCCCGCCACCGACGACCAAACGAAGAAGGTGCGTGCCATGGTGTGGGCGGTGCGGGAGATGTGCGCCCACGACCAGCTGGTGCCGCCAGACCAGCGCAAGAGCGTGCGCCTTAAGGAGGATTGCTCACTGCTGTCCCAGCTGCGCACCCCAGGCCACCTCGACCCGTCGTTCATGGACGGGCTGCTCTTCCGCCACGCCCTGCAGGCGTGTGTGGTCCACGGGGCGGCCGGGTCGCTCGAGGTGCTGCTGAGGGAGACGCTCGTAAAGCCGACCGACAAGGACAAGAAGAAGCTGAGGGTGGGTGAGGTGCGGGCCAAGATGGGCAGCAAGGTGCTCAAGTGGAGCCACATGTCACTGGATGCTCTCGACTCGTCGTGGATGTACCTGGACGAACCCCTCAATGCCGTCACTGAAGGTGGGCAAGTACACGAAGACAGACGGGTCGTGAGCATGAATGTTGCTTGTGTGGATATGTGTTGTCATTCGTGCATGCATCTGGTCAGATTATGTGAGGGCGCCCCTCCCTGTGCAGGCAGCCATCGCCGACGCACCAGCACAGATCATGCAGGTGTGCCGTACACAGCACCCTTGTAGGGCAGCATGTCACGGATCTGGCCGCCCTATCACGGATCTACCTGTGTGCAGCTGCTGGTCGAGTATAATGTCGACATCAACGAGATGGGCCTCGTGGCTCTGGCTCCTCAGACCAAAGACAAGATGGTGACATCCCCACTTGGTCAGTGAGTGTCGTAAGAAAGGGCAAGACAGAAGGAGGAGTGCCAGATGGATGTGAGTGTGACTTTGGGTCCTCAGGCGCCGCTGCTTTTGTGCATTCACCTGAGACCCTCGACTTCCTTCTGCGGCAACCGCACGCCGACCCATCAGTCCTCTCCGAGGGAGGCCCTCTTGCCGGTCTCAACCTTTTACAGCTGGCCTGCGGAGCTCTACACGAGCCGCCGCCGAGCAGCCAGGATGATGCCGGTGAGTTACTGATCAATTGAGCCAGATTAGCTCGTGTTGAGACTCTTGTGTGTTGTGACAGCACCCAAGCCCCCGCTCCAGCCCAAGGCCAGCAGCCGCAAGAGTCGCAAGAAGGCCGCCAGCAAGGGCAAGTGTGACGATTCACAAGTGCAAGAGGGGCAGCAAGAGGGCAAACTTGTCGACAACGGCGGCATTGTCCAAGGCGGGGAGCAACAGGAGGCCGGCGGCAGTGGAGACACATTCGACGCCGCAGCACAGGAATCAAAGGGTGGGGCTGCCTGGCTGATCGGGGAGGGGTTCAAGCTCACCCTCGCGAGAGTGAAGGAATTGGCACAGGAGAAGGAGACGGCCCGGCAGTCGAGTGCAGTGGCCGTGCTGGAGGCGCTCGAACATCACGGCCTCACGCGCAGCGCACCGGGCAAGGGCAAAGGGGGCCGCAGCAAGGGCCTGCACTGCCGTACCATGGCGGGCAATACGCTTCTGCACCTGGCGGCCATTAATGGGTGGTCTAGGGTGGTCGATTGGCTCCTCGCAAAGGGAGTCGACGCCGAGGCCGTCAACACGGAGGGACTAACAGCACTCGACGAAGCACGCCGAAACGGCTGGAAGGTAAGCGAAAGGAAAGGTCCGACGGCGGCCGGCCGAGGACAGCCATTGCTGTTGAGGTGTATTCTTGTTTGCTTCAGTCGTGTGTGGATCTGCTGGTTGCGCACCTCGAGTCGCGTCGGAAGGCTGTCGCGGCCGAGCTGCTGCACGAGGAGAGGATGGCGCGTGAGAAGGAGGAGAGGGCCGCCAGGAAACGAGAGCAAAAGCGACTCAAGGTACTGCTGTCATCGATCGCGTAGCCCTGAATGTATAATGCCTTCCTGTGTGTGATTGCCATCAGCGGCTGTCTGCAACGGGTCAGCAGGGAGGGGCAACAGCCGACACACCGGCGGCAGATGAGGAGGTGGAGATGGATGACGGCCCACAGCACGAGGGACGGGGAGTGGGTGATGTGACGGAGGAAGCTGCTACGCCGAGCTGCCCCCCAGACGCACATGACGACAGGTATATGCAGGACCGCCGACACCTCCATCTCGATACATCTGTACTTGTGTGGTCTGCAGTGTCGAGCCCGCCCTCTCTGATCAGCCCAGTGACCACCAGCAGCAACATGCCCTCAGCCATGAGCCTCCAGATGACATCGGCCGCTCGCCCATTCCCTCTACCGCTCTCCCACCTGCACACATCGCATCAACCAGCCACTTGTTGGCTGACCCTTACTACCAGCCGCCCAGCTCATCGTAAGTCACACAGAGGGCCCTTAACACACATGGAGTCGATTGGTGGTGCCGTTTTGTGTTCTGTGTGTCATCCATCCATCAGGTCATCGTTTGTCGACCCGCCTGTGCCATCGACGGTCAGCACCACACCGGCCGACCGGCCCTCCACAGCCCAGCCGTCAGCCCGACCGGACGAGTAAGGCAGCAGACACAATCGGTCCGCCGTGTGGCCTTTCGCTGACAATGTGGCCAATGTGTGTGCAGCTTCCCCCCGGCTGATGGCATGGCTCAGCTGCGGGCTGAGCTGAATGACGCCATCGACAAGAAGGAGAGGTCAGACGGACACCACACGGCTGTGTGTGTCTGTGACGCAGCCAGACTGTCGCGTGTTGGTCTGTGTATCGTCCATGCCTGTGAGCAGTCTGGAGGCTCAGTACGGCGATGTGCTTGAGGCCCGTCGGCGGGCGACCGAACGCGTCAAGGAGCTCAAAACAAAAATACGACGACTCAGATACGTCACACCCAAGTGAGCGATACACAAAAGGAGAAGGTCCCACACAGCAGCTCCACTCTGTGTGCTGTTGATGCAGTCTGAGCCAGGATGTGTTGGCGTCATTGGCCACTGCTGCTGAAGTGCGTGGGTTCGAGGCCAAGATCAATCGCGAGGAGGAACGGCTCGACGAGCTGCTCGTGGCCGCCTGCCAGCATGCCACCCAGCTGCAGAGCGGCGCACTCAAAGCCAAGAGGGCACCCGCAGCCGAGCAACAGAGCGCCCCGGCCGCTGCCGCTCCCTCCTCTGCAGATGGGTGGGATGGGGAGAGAGGGATGACCATGTTCAGTGCATCTCTGTGTCGCTCCGTTGTGTGTGTATCAATCAGGTGTGGCTTGCCAGTGTGTCATGAAATGAGTGTGTTGCTGAACGAGTCGTCGACTGAGGAGCAGCTGATCGAGGCCACAGAGCACATCCGATGCGACATAGACCAGTAAGACAGAGCGCTCCCCATGCCAACCAACAGCCATACCCCTGCACACGTATGTGTGTGTCAGGCTGGAGTGTGACATCTCTCGGATGACGGAGGACCACATCAAGGCCGAGGCGGCCCTCCAGACACTCGAGCAAGAGCACCACACACTGCAGCAAGAGGCAAACAAACGGTAACCAAACGCCCGCCGACACACACACACAGCCCGTTATGCGCCTCTCTCTCCCTGTTTGTTTGTCCATCGTCAGGCTGACCCCTACTCGTCTCGAGTCGCTCACGAGCATCGCAGCGGTGGACGCCTTCAGGCGCGACATCAAGAAGGCCAAACAGGAGCTGCGAGATCTGGCCAGAGACGCCGCTGTGCGTCACGCTGCACTCGAGAAGGAGGAGACGGATGCCGCTGCCGCTGCCTCTGGCGATGGCGGGGAGGGCACCTGCGTTATGTGCATCTCCGAGCGGCCAATCGTGGTATTCTTCCCGTGTCTGCAGGTCAGCGGCCACACACACGAATCACATGCCGTTGCACGTCATTGTGTGTGTGTGTATGCAGAAGTGTCTGTGCGAGGGGTGCTGGCGTGAGATGGCGGCGGCCCACGATACGGCCAAGAGGGAGAAGGCGCGGCTGGAGGCGCTGGAGCGGCGAGTGCCTGATAGCATCGCCCGGGACGCCCAGCTCAAGTGTCCGATGTGCAACCAGGAGGCCCACTACGCCAGCACCGTCGACGGCATCCGAACAGCCACGTGACGACAAGACCATGAGATAGACCGCTCTGTATCCCTGTGCGTTCATTTAAGGGCATTCTAGTTAGTCGGTCGCAGGCTAACATCTGACAGGGGGCGATACAGAGAGGGTATCGCTGTCGGGCACCGGGCCTATGTATCTATCTATTTGTATGTATCTCTCGGATCTGATGTATTCATATGGCATTTATCGCGGAGACTTGAGTCATTAGATGGTCGTGTCTGCCTCGATGGCAGGCAGCCATGGACCTCTTCATGCATCCTGTGCGTTGTGCACCAACGCAGCCAGTGGCATCGAAATCGCCGGCCACGTGGATGACATCCCATGCAAGACAGGCAATTTTCCACCCCTACGTGCGTGTTTTGTAGGGCGTACGGATCCGTTCGAATGTATGTATTTGTGTCCGTCCATGTATTGCAGTCGGTCGGTGCACATGTGTGACCAGTGAACTTTTATACAGCGACTACGGGGTCGTCATGGATTCAATCCTTCCGCATATATATAAGCAAGATTAATTTGTATTCGAAACGCATATGCGCATTCAACGTATTATCGATTCCACACGCTGCATGCATGCTTTCATGAGCCATCCATTTATGTGTCTGTTCCATCCACTGTCTGTTCACGCTCTTTGTCTTTGTCTGGTATTCATTTGTGTGCGTCTTTGTTTGTCTGTTTGTTTGTCTCATCCTCGTTCGCTCACTTGCGGCCTGAGGCAAAGGCATCCACAAATACAACATGTACATTGCATGTTGTCTGCTGCCATTACTTCCTGTCTACCGCATACGTACCTCTGTTGGCTGATTTGCGGTAGTTGTTGGTGCGTTTGGCCTTGTGAGGGCTGCGCTTCTTGGCCGCCGTCTGCTCGCCCTCTCGCTTTTCCTCTCCGTCCGCGACAGCATCCACCATCTCACACTCTACTGCACACATCCATCCATCCATCAAAGTAGGACACACACCACATACACAGCTGGTCTCCCCCCCTGTGTGTGCGTGTGAATCACCTGTCTTGCCGTATTCGATGAGCTGGGCCACGGTGTACGTGCGGAAGATGACGTCGGGCGGGGGTCTGGTCGGCATGGTCGCGAGGATGCTCAGGTAGCTTTCGATCGTCTGGCAGCTCTTCTCGACCTTCGTCGTCGGCACCACCACAATCTCAGCACGACGCTCATACACTGACACCGAACGCTGCACACACGAAAATGCACACCGACACACTCTCCTCCCTCCCTTCCCCCCTCCCTCCCTCCCTCCCTCCCATGTGCCTCTTGTTTGTCCGCTCTTGACGTCACCTGTGTGTGATCGATGGCCGCGTCTGTGTCTGCCGTGTGCTTCTTGTTGGCCTTGATGGGTGTGAATTGGCTGGGCGGGTTGGCAGTGAGGAACCAAGGCAGAGACGAGACACCACCACCACCACCAGCAGCAGCAGGGGACTCAGTGACGGCAGTGGTCGTCGACGGCATGAAGACCGGCGCGAAGGGGTTGAGGCGAGACGACGCAAGCTGATGCGACAACGAAGCGGAACTCTCCCTGCACAATCACACCAAAAACAGTAGCCCATCATTGCTTGATTGACTGATTCATTGATTTACTTGCGGTAGGGGCGGAACGTCGGCACAGAGAGAATGATGGGCTTCATGACGGCTGCTTTGCTTTGCTTGCTTGCTTTGCTTACAGAGGAATTCACAATCGACCGGTTTGCTTTTGCTTGTCGTGCGTACAGTACACACATGAATTCGATCCGGGACGCCCAGCTCAAGTGTCCCGTGTGCAACCAGGAGGCCCACTCTGCCAGCACAGTCGACGCCATCCGAACAGCCGCCTGATCGGCAGCACACCACATAGATAGACAGACCACCCACAAGCGTGGACAGACCTGAGTTGTAGCTCATGCGCCGATGGCCTGCATCCAGTCATGGCTTGTAGATGCGTACCTCTATGTTCTCTCAGACCCCTTCATTCAGCTGCATGCTTGCTTCATGCACCTGTGTGACTGACCCTCCAGCGGTGTTCACGTCACTCACCGTCCATGTTTATAGTCTGTGAATACTATGTACTTTGCAAGTACTTTGCTACCGTCCATGAATTCATTCATTGTCATTCATTCCATACTTTGCATACCGATACCGATATACAGTATGTGCGCATGCTGTGTGTTCTGCAATGAGAGATCTCCATCAGACAAGCCATCAGATGTCATCCGATCCATTTGCAAGCTCAAGCTGCGGATCGCTCTCGGGGCTCCGCCTCTTTCCCGCTTTGCATCCCTCTTTAACGATGGAGAGGACGCCAAAGGCGGTCAGGAAGACTCCTCGGAAGCGCCGCAATCCACCTGAGAGTGGTGATGTCATCTCAGTCGTTCGCCCCATCAACTTACTGGACGAGCGGGAGCGCTTCATGATCAGCGTGGGCGTCCTGCCGAAGTCTCCAACGCCCTCCAGCCCTCTGCCGACCGCCCCTCTGTCCATTTCAGCCCCCTCCTCCGCAAGCAACACGTTTCTGCTGGCGCCTTCGTCTTCCCTCCACATCCTGCCCCCTCTTGTGAACCGACCTCAGCCGCCCGTTGAGTCACATGAGTCGTCAGAGGCGCTCGACGGTGCCCTGCCGCGGCGCAGCATGTCATCTTCGCAGCTGATGGCCAGTGAGGACGACCGGGCGGCGCTCGAGGGGTGGGAGGAATCGAATGGTCTGCAGAGGAGGAGCTCGTCGGAAGAGGCAGAAGCAGACGCAGCGACAACGGATGCAGAGAAGCCATCATGTGTTGCAGCGGCTTCGGCATGTGACCCTGAGGACACGAGCGGTGTTTCTTCAACGACCGAGCTGATCCTGGGGGACTGCGACGGGCAGCATCATCCCTCGTTCCTTGTGCAGGGGTCTATTGCGCGGTCACTGCATTCGATAAGGAGCCGCAACTCTCCCCCTCTCCGGCCATCCAACAGCCCCCCCACGCCCCTCCCCCCGCTCTCCCCAGAGTCGCCAGAGCGACGAGCAAGCGCAATCAATCCCGCCTTGGGGCACATCAGCGCAGACTCTGACGAGGAGGGCAGTGATGCAGATGAAGACATCGGGCCTCCCATGTCTTGTGGCGAGAGGATGCGGTCGAATCCTGTCTCGTCTGATGACTGCCCCGTGCTGCCGAGACACAAGCCTCGGCAGGGCAAGCACATGCCGTCCCTGACCAACTCGCCCGACTCGTCACAGGCCCCCTCGCCAATCATCCAGTCGCCCAAACGACGCCTCGTCCCGCCTCAAGACGAGTCTTCAGGGAGGCTTCCTGCCGTCTCTGACCCCCCCTCCCCCTCCCCCCTGCTGCTGCTCGATCGAGCGCGGAGAGCAGACCCCCACCCGCCCTCATCAGCTATCGACGAGTCCCACCTGCCGTCTGCGCTGTCTTCCCCTCAGCTGCCCCAGCCACATGGTGAGTCGAGTTTTCCCCTGCTGGGCAGGCATATGCATGGCCTGGGGAAGGGCAGTATCGTCCTGGACCCGCTGAACAATGACAGGAGGAGAGATGTTGAGGCGGGGGTGCCGTACGACCCGCAGTTCCGCTATGCAACGCCGGTCCCCAGACACGTCTTTCAGCGATTTGGGACTGCTAGCGGTGGGCAACGACGGCAGCTATGCGGAGGGAGCATCAAGGAATTGACGCGTCAATGGTGTTGTTGTTGTGCAGATCAGTATTTGAATCAGGCAGTGATTGTTCTGGAGACGGTGCTGAAGAAGTATGGCTCATACGAGAGGTATGTTGAGGAGAACGGCGGCCCCATGATCGGGCAGGACGCCATCATGAAGATCGTCGACGAGTACCTCGACATCCACCAGCTTAGGGGAGACATATCTGTGGTCTTCTGCCCCAACCTCGTCGCATTCGGTCAGCAGCACAAACAGACACACACACACGCCTCTGTGGGTCAATGTGAGCGCGTTTTTTGTCGACACAGCGTCGTTTAAGATGGTGAATAAGCAGCCGGTGCTCAACTTGCGTGCCGAGGGCATGCGAGAGAAGTGGGTGCAGGGGTGCCTCCACCACGAGATCGGTACCCACTTCCTCAGGCGCCTCAACAACGCCAGACAGCCATGGGCAAAACGGGCCAAGAGGAAGGGGAGAAAACTCCTCCTCGAAGACAAAAACCCTACCGTAAGCTCTGTCTGTCTGTCTGTCTCCCGTCGGGTCGGTCGTGTGTGTCGGTGGTGAGCGGGAGAATTGCGGTGTTTGTATTTATGTGTGTGTGCAGGAGGAAGGTTTTGCGACCATCAACACGCTCATCGACCGTGAGGGCCACCATCTGTGGAGGGCCGCCCTGGCCTACTACACATGCTACATGGCAACTCAGGTCAGTCAGTACACACCCAAGCCAAGCCAAGCCCTGGATGGATGGATGGATACGCTCACATCGGCTGTCTGTCTCCCCGTGCTATGCGTGTCTCAGATGTCGTTTTCTGCTCTGTTTGACCATCTTGCAAGGTTTCTCGAGGACCCAGACTCACGGTAGGGAAGAGTGAGACGTCAACACCGGCTCAGTCAGCATCATGAACACCTCATTTGTGGTGCCTCTCATTGTCTTCAGCTGGGATTTTTGTATGCGTGCTAAGCGAGGGCTGACCGACACAAGTCGGCCAGGGGGATTCTGCAAGGACCAGGTGGGCACAAAGAAAGGACACACCGGTGAACAGACAGACAAAACCGCCTTCGTGAATCGTCTCTTGGATGGGTGTGAACGAACATGCAGATGTACCTGACCGGTGCACTGACTGTTCTGAGGCGCAGGAAGGAGATCGACTTCCGAGTAAGCCGACCAAGTCAGACAAGAACCGAGCTCTTTCCTCACCATCACTGTCTCCCTGCAGGCGCTTTACATGGGCAAAGTGAGCCTCGACGATGCCGAGCGACTCAAAAGGTAAACAGAATGATGGAGCAACAGACAGGGGTGCGTGTGGATGGATGGATGGATGGATTTGCGTCTTGCTGTGTGCTCTGCTGTGTCTGTCGCAGGGAGGGCATAGCCGTGTTGGATGGTCTGAAGCTGCCCGTCTTCCTGCAAGACGAGGAGGCGTACCGAAGGAAACTGGACGTGGTCGTGGAATGCAATGGCCTGTCCGATGATGTGCTCTGCACCTGACTGTGTGTCCTCATCATAGCCCCGGAGCACAGCACACATCGCTGTCCTCCGCCTGCCCTGCGTGTCTGTGGGTCTGCGTGGAGTGGAGGAGGTGCATACCGCTGTTTTTGCCGTCCTTGATGCCGCTTTGCAATGTGCAACTTCATGCCAGGTGTGTGCTGACTCCTTGCGCACATTTGTGGACATCCGGAGCAGATATTTTTGGCGGGGAATTTTGAGAATCATGCCACGAGGCAGATCGCCAAACCCCAGAAACCCTTCGCCTCGCCAGCCTTCGCCTTTTCGCGCCTTTGAGCGGCGCTGCGTCAGCCTTGCGCGTGTGAGCATCCGATGTGATGATCCCCCTGTCCATCCTGTCAGTTTCGCCCAGTACACCCAGTGCGTGATCTGCCCATCCTCCCGCCTCTGAGCAGCAGGGGATCTCACACAGGGAGTGCACCCGTCAGCTCACACACGCATCGGCGCCCGCTGTCTCGCGTGCGCGCCAGAGGGAAGGAGAGAGGACATGGCGGCCACCGGCAGCAAGATCCGCGTCGGCAACATCCACCCCCTGACGCCCAAGGGTGAGCAGGCGACACCATCTCACGCACACGAGGCCTCCCGGCACACACACAGGCGGAGAAAGGTGCGGGATGAGTCATGTCGTGGCGGTTCCCCGCATGTGTGTGTTCAGAGAAGCTGATCCAGGAGTTCCAGCAGTATGGCCACGTGTTGGAGGTGGATGTGGGCGACGACTGCGCCTACGTGACGTTCGAGCGGTCCGCATCGGCGCGGGCGGCGTGCGCGGATGCACACACCATCATGGGCCGAAGGGTACGAGTCGACAGGCGTGTCGTGTGTGGGGTGTCACCAGGCCAGATGCATGTCGCCGTTCGTGTGTGCGTGTGGTGTGGACCTGGGCGTGTGTGGTGGTGTGTTTGTGTGTGTTTGTATTTTGTGTCTGTGTCTCTCTGTGTCTGTGTGAGCAGTTGTCCCTGCAGTACGTTGCTGAGCCTCTCATCGGGGCCTGCAAAGTGTTCGTGGGAGGCGTGCCTAACGTGTCGGAAGGTGCACATCACATCCACACATCAAATCCACACGGACACAGACACACGGACACATACGCAGATCTAACTCTGTGTGTCTGGTGTTTGCATGCAGAGATCTTCACGCAGTACTTCTCCAAGTTCGGCAAGATCCGCCACTCCACCGTCTACTTCCACCCAGTCACCGGACGCCCCCGAGGTATGCCATCACAACCACACACACGCAACAGGCCTGTTGCACTTGGGTGTATGCTATGCGTCGTGTCGTGTCGTGTGTGGTGTGGTGTGGTGTGTTGTGTTGTGTTGTGCAGGTTTTGGTTTTGTTGAGTACGAGACTGAGGACGGTGCGTTGGAGTGCCTCAAACACTACCGATCACACAGCCTCATGGGCAAATGGGTCAGTCAGTGAGTGGCTGGTGCACACACACACACACCCATCCCTCCATTGTGTGCACCCATGTGTGTGTCTGCGTGTGTGTAGGTTGAGGTGAAGCGTGCGGTGTTGGCTGACAGCGACCAGCCGCACCCCTGCCCCGCCAACCCCAAGAAGCACCTCAACTTCTCCCGCCGGGGTCCCAACCGATACTCCAACACAAACAACATCCACAACGACCACTACACCCACCACCAGCAGCACCAGCCATACCGCACCATGCAGCCCTTCAACAAACGCGGCTACCACGGCGGATCAGGCGGTGGTGGAGGGGGTGCTGGTCACGGTAGCGGTGGTGTTGGTGCCGGGGGAGGTGGTGCAGGTGGGTTCATGGGGCGCGGCAACGCGTGGAACCAGGAGGAGCGCAACACACACGCGTTTGAGAGGCAGAAGGTCACGCTGTGGGCCAAGCGCGACCCGGCACACAATGGTGAGCACATAGGGGAGGGAGGGAGGGAGGGAGGAAGACCAAACAGATCTTTCAGTGACATCATCACGCGTCCTGTTCTGTCTGGGTGTTGGTATGTTGGTCAGGTACAGGCGTTGGTTCGTCGTCGGTGTCCAAGCCCCCGGAGGACCCCCACGCGGCGCAGCACCAGCGTTACATCAACCCGGCAGTAACCGAGACGGCCCACCCCACACCGGGGCACCACACACCCGAGCAGACCACCATCCCAGCCGCACACGAGCCGCCCGCCATACTGCCCACACCCACACACATGAAGAAGACCATGACCGGCGGACTCGCCGGTGGCTGCGGCCCCTCCGTGTCGCAGCAGATGGGCATCCAGCAGCAGGGCGACCACCAGTGGCAGTACCAGCACCAGCAGCAGGGGTACGGCGGCGCGGCGTTTGGTGGGGGCATGGGTCACGGACAGCCGATGGGCGGCGGTCAGACGGTGATGCCCGGCCTCATGTCTGGCCCCCCTGGTGGCGCGATGAATGGCATGCCGCCTGCCATGGCCATGCCGATGGGCCACCAGGGCGGTGCGGGCATCATGGGGGGACACCCCACGATACAGATGATGCCACCCAACGACATCCACATGACGGGCGGCGGCGGCGGCGGCGGCGGCGGCGGCCAGGCGTTCCCCACCCCACACACACCCCACGGACACGGCATGGCGCCCTACCCCTACCCTGCACCTGCACCCGCCATCCCGCAGCCGCAGCCGCAGCCGCACATGGGCGGCCGCCCCACTGGACCATACATGCCGCAAGTGCTGACCGTGGAGCAGCACTGCCCCACCACCCCCACCAACACCACCACCATGACGCAGCATTCCACTAAGGCAGACGGAGGTGGCCAGTGGCGCGACTTGGGCGGTCGCCAGGAGATCGATTTGCCGTCGTCCAACCTGGTGCTGGTCAAGCAACAGGGCCAGGAGGGTCAGGGAGGTGAGGAGGGCGACTGCAAGGAGGGTGAGAAGGGTGGCTGCGCCAAGGGGCAGGGCGGCGGGTGCAAGAAGGGGGCGGATAGCGCCGCCGGCAAGGAGGCACACGCAGGTGCGTACACACATCACATCACATCGACACAAATGGATGCGCCTGTCCCTCCGTCACGCATTCGTTGGTGTGTGTGGCTTTCTTGGTATCCTCACTCAGGTAGCGGTAGCGTTGAGGACATGGTGGCGATGCGCATCGGGTTCGTCCAGGAGAAGGAGGGCGGGCAGTCGACCACCACGCCGCCCACCACCTGCACCCTCCCCGCCTCGCTCCTCAAGGCCGAGGACGCCAAGGCCACCAACGGGGCCTTCATGATGCTCCGCGAGACATACGGCCTCCCCCGCACGCACAACCACACACTCGTCTACTACACCAACACCAAAGCCAAGACCAACACCGACACCGACAAGACCAGCAACACCGAGGGCGGCGTGGTCGGGACCATGGGGGAGATGGTGGAGGTGGAGTCCCTCCAGATGCTCATCGACAAGGCGGCGGAGGGCCTGGCCTTCTACTGGCACGCACAATCGTCCACTCGCGTCCCGTCGGGCACGGCGAGTGAGGAGGGCAGCAAGACACCCGGCCGCCCATCCAAGCAGAGCAGCAGCGACGGAGGGCGTAGCACACCCGACGAGAAAACGGGCGGTGTGGCCAAGGGGGCCGGTGCTGACAAGGGCATCGGCAAGGAGGAGGTGGTGGGGGCGGGTGCCACGGAGGCGTAGGTAGTGGTTGGTCGGCCTCGGTGGGCGGCCGGGCTGGTGGGGGTGGTATGTCTGGCCACTCCACCACCCCCCATCCCCCCGCGAGACAGACAGTCTCAGTCCAATAATATAGGTAGGGGAGTGATTAGGGGGCTGTGGCGCATGGCAGGGACGGATTGACGGATCGACGGATGGATCGCTTAGTGGTTGCGTGGCGTGCATGGCTGGCTGGCTGGCCGGCTGATCACCTTCTCTCAGCGGTCGGTGCCTTCACTCACTCCCTCCCTGTCTGCCTGTCTGTGTGCGTCGTCGCGTCATGTCTTCCATCGCTATGTCCTTATTGGTATGGCCTGCCTGCCTCCCTCCCTCTTGCCTTGTCTGCCTGCCTGCCTGTCTGCCCGTTTGCCTGTATGGTCGTGCGTGAGGGCACCTGGGGGCACATCATTCATCCTACCTACATACACACATGCCACCACATCCCATGCATGCTCAGCACCACACGCCGATCATTGCCATGCATCACACTGCATTCCATTGCATTCCATTGCATCCCATCGCATCTCACGGTGTGAAGCTAGCTTATTGCGTGCCTGCTGCTGCTTAGAGGGTCTTAGAGGGTTGTTTCAATCCATGCCTATGAAGCCATGCGCGTCGGCGACCTACTGATGCATCGATCCATCGACTTACCGATTGGCGTGTATTGTATGCGTGTGGATGAATGTGCAATTTTCCGATTGACTGACTGGCTCCTTGCACCGTCTGCGTCATGTGGCATGCGTAGACAGACGGGCGGACGGATCTGTCAATACGGTCGATCCGAGAGAGAGAGAGAGAGAGAGAGAGAGATTTCCTTCTGTTTTGGCATTATGTAAGTGCTCCCTCCCTCCCTGTCTATAGCCCGTACATGTACTTACTTGTATATACGCTGTAAGAGATAGAGAGCGAATCGAATCGAGAGCAGTCTAGTCAGCCGTGACGGACGGACGGGTGGCTCACTGCCCTGCCCTCTCCCTGTGTGTGTGTGTGTGTGTCTTTTGTACCGACATGTAATCTCGTACGATCGCCCCCGACCTTCATGTGTAGATGTGTGTGTCCCAATCATTAGTGACCCTAGAAAGAGAGAGAGAGAGAGAGCACTCTCCCACTGCCATTCGGGCGACTGACAGACCGACCGGTTTTCGATCCTTGCTGCCGCGGATGCATCTATCTAGCTAGCCTTCTTCCCTTCTACTACTACTACTACTACTCTACCACTTCCTCTAGTATGTGAATACCCCACACCACATTACCGATGGAATGAGCTGACGACAGTCAGTCACTGTTCCCCTACGCTATGGTCTGCCCTAGCATAGCATAGCAGCACGAGTGTGTACAGTGGTACTCGTGCGTTGATCGGGCGGGCCGAGCCGAGCCGCTCAGTAGCTCACTGACAGAGCCAACGATAGATAGACAGACAGATGAGAAGGGTGGCCCGCCACCCATACCCACACCCACACGGCAAGCAGACAGATGCTACATATCTATACGCCACGCCTGCATTGCATACACGTTAGGTACCCACTGGCTGATGTATGGTTCACTTCCATGGATTGACGGATGGATGGATGTGCGTGCTTGCCGGGATTTGACGCACCTTCCCTGACGGTGCTCTGCGGCGGCAGCTTTCCATTGCTGGTCATCTGCCGCCGTGGTACATACTCAGGGAAGGATCATCAAATCTCCGCCGCGCACACACACAGTCAGAGAGACAGCGAGACAATCATAGTGGTAGCATGCACTGACCACATCACCCACTCACTTGCTATGCATGCCTGTGCCCATCACATACATACACACACGCACTCGTCTAGTACGCACCTACGCACCCTCATCTACCCTACTCGCCCTTCTGCGATGATCTGATCATCTTGTGTCTCGTTGAGGTCGCGATCGGCTACGTCAGGCTGCTCCTTGTCAACAGAACGGCAAGAAGCAAGCTGAAGTAGTTGTGCGCAACATCGAGACACAAGCGATCGGTGGGTGGGAAGGAGGCCTGGGGATACCGCTTTCTTTCCTCCGCTTGCACCGCCACCACTACATTACTTGCCTAGGGGCTAGCTACGACGTCACTCACACAGAGAAACAGACAGACAGACAGACAGACAGGTCACACCCGTGGTAATGATACCGGCCGAATTACATCGCCGTACGCCTCTGCACTACTGTACGGGACCATCTATGTCACTTGTACGCTTGTCCGTCGGTCAGATAACCTCCTTTTCACCTAAGACCTTCCTGGCTGGATGGCCCACTGACTCGCTCACTCAGTCACTCACTTTGCTCGGTCGCTGTTTGTGATGTGCACGGGCGCATGCGATTCCCATCTGCCTTTTCTGTCTTGTCTGCCTGCCTTCCTGCCTGCCTGCCTTCCTGCGTGCCTGCCTACCCCGCCCAAGCCAGCGGATCCACCCACTGGACGGGGCAGCGCAGCACGGCAGCTGTGAATAGCCTTACTTACCCATTCACTCACTCACTCGCCCACTCACCACTTGTCTGCGCACATGCGCTTACACACATACACACACACCTTTCATGGTTTTAACCCGTATGGGCGGCAGACAGACAGACAGACAGACCAAGTGTTGATTGATGCCTCGGCTGTTTTGGTGCGCATGGCAGCAGACATGCAGTAAGGATCGTACGCAGACAGAGAAACCAAACCGTCCATCTGGTTGCTTTGCCGCACTCGTGCATCCTTGATTTTGCCACACACAATTGGGTGTGCGTGTGCGTGGGTAACAAACACTACGGCTCGTAAAAACACACTGCCTGCACTCGTACGCACGTACGAGCAACAGAGCACCGAGGCTGTCTCTCTGTCCGTCCGTCTGTCTGCGTGCGGCCGATCCTCTCTCTCCTCTGTGTTTCCCCTGTAGGTCTTTTGCGTTGGCGAATGGCATTCATCCACTGCAGTACACGAATTGGATTGTATGACGCACACACGTGGCTGTCTAGGTGGCTAGTAGTGGGTGGGTGGACGCGGGTATGGACGGGCATGGTGTGGTGTGGCTGTGCAGTGGTCTGGATGGCTGGCATGTCTGTCTGTCTGGCTGGCTGTATGGCTGCGCGAATGAGTGGATAAGCGGTAGGAATGAGCCCAAGGGACGTCGAATAAGTTGACATGACAGACACGGACAGACCAACGCCAACACATCATATGGATCAACGAACGAGCTGCGAACGACCTTCCCTTCTGATTGCGTTCGTTGATAAGAATCCGTCAGTCCCTGGTGGTTCATCGATCGCATCGCCCAGCGTCCTAGCTATCATTCATTACGTCATTAAATCATTCAGCCCTAGCTAGCTACTCATCCACACCAGTGAACGACCGACCGGTACACACGCACATCCACACTCGTCTGTCCGTCCACCCCCGTCTCTCCCCCGACCGAGTGAGTGTTCATCATATATACATATCGATGCTTACATACCCCCTACACCCCCCC